GCGGATGGCCCCACGCAGGGCAGGGGCGCGCAGGGCGGATGGCCCCACGCAGGGCAGGGGCGCGCAGGGCGGATGGCCGGGTGGGCAGGGCTGCCGCACGGTCCGGACACCCCGCTCGCTGCCTCGTGTTTGTCCGCGTCCTCCACGGCCTGCGCTGCGCTCGTGCCACGCCTGTCCTCCCCATCATCCTCCCCGTCATGTCCCACACCCCCCAACCCACGGACCCCTGGAACCGGGCCCGCCCTGGCCCCCGCCCCCGCCCAGCCCCCGCCCGCCCGCTCGCCGCCCGCCCCCAGGCCCCGGCCCCCGCCGCGTCGCCTCCAGGCCTTCGCAACAGCCGAACGACTGGTCTGAAGCGTCGCTCTCGCTGCGGTTCTCCTCGTCCTCGCTAAGCAGCCGCACGTCGGGGTACAGCACGTGAGCGCCCACGGGGCGCAGCAGCGCGAACGCCATGGGTGCCGGGCCACCCTGCGTAGACCGCGCCCCGCGGTGCGCTCCCGCGCGCTCCCACAGCCCCGCCGGCCGCTGCCTTATAACCGAGGGAAGGGCCAATCACGGGGCGGCTCCGGGCCCGGGGCGGGGGCGAGGGGCTCCGCTGGGCCAATGGGGAGCCGCCTGCCCCGCCCCGGCCAATGGCAACGCACTGGTCGTTCCAGGCCCCCAGGTTGAAAGCGGCCCGGGAGCTGGGGGAGCCCGCCCCCGCCCCCGCCCCCGCCCCGCAGGTTCGTGGTGGGCTCTGGAGAGCGGGGCAGTTGCGTCGGGTTTGTAAAGTGGAATCCGGATCCCGACTTCCAGATCTACTTACTGGCGGGTCTCTTCTACTAGCTTGGTCTGTTTTCTCCTTCCGAAAGGGTGGTTGATGTCTTCCGGCCCTCAAATTCCAATCCCGTGGCGCTGTAACTTCCCGGTGTGTAAAGCAGTCGCGGGGAAGCCTTGCGGGGCTTACAGCATCCTGGCAGTTCTGGGGCGTGGCCTAGGGGTCCTCATTTTGTCTAAGTCCACGGTGATGGTCACGGGGTTCCGTGGGGAACCCTTGGAGACGTGCCATAAACTTTCCAGAAAAAGATTAAACGATGTCACCTCCCTGATGACAATCTTTAAAAAAAAAAAAAAAGCAATCCAGAACCCAAACCCAAACAAACATCATTCGTGTTCACCCATTTCCTCACTCCACCAACAGACTTGGTTTTAGATTTTATCCGAGGATGCAAACCTGAACAAAATTAACTCTGTCCTCGCTGACCGATTCGAGGTTGCAAAATAGGACCCCCTGTTTACAGATAAAAGCCCTGGTGTTTTGCCTTACAAGGTGAGACGGGGGTTGGGGGGTGGCCTCCAGGCCTGTCTTCCTTCTAGAAACTTCAGGCTGTCCATCGATGGTTCTTTGCAGAGGCTTCTGGGAGGAATGACGGAGCTGACAAAGGCCACTGGCATCCCCGGGTTTCCCCGGCTCCAAACCAGGACTGACCAAATCAGTGTCTCCGCTGGGGTGGAAAACAACCCTCTCTTCGGCGCTGATGGCTTCGTGGCGTCTGCCACCATGGCAGGGAGGGTCTCAGGAGTACGGTCAAAAGGCTTGGAGGTACATTTGGCTTCTCTAGGCCACCGTTTTCTTGGAGAAGCCTCCCAGCTCTGCCTCCTCAGCTTGCCTGTCCCAGCCTGGAAAGTGGATGGGGAGGGGGTGGGGGTCTCAGGGGTTTCCCCTTCGGAAGCCAAGGCCTGCAGGAGGGTCTGTTCCCACACCTGGCTCCCCCACCCCCACACTGTTTGACCGTGACCCCGGCGGGGCAGGGGGAGGAGGAGGAGTGTGCAGGGCCCCCTCCCGGCAGGGCCAGCCCCACACGCAGTCCCAGGCCTGCGCTGCTTCCTGAGCTGATGAATTATTACCGGGAGATTTCCTTCCCTGTCTGCGCCTCCTCACAGGGGCTCCCAGTTCCCTTCACTTTCGCTGTCTCCCCTTCTCCCTCCTCCCCGCTGCTCCGGACTGACCCTCCAGCGGCTAGAAATTCCTCTGTCCAGCCCCCTCCCAGTTCCAGTTCGGAAGCAGTGGTGCTGGGTAGGAAGGCGGGGAGAGGGGACCCAGGGGCACAGCAGCCTTGTTAATTCAGCATAGGCCCTGGGGAGGGGGGTTGGATACATGGGAACCTAGGGGTAACCTAAAACCACGAATGAGAGCAGACATGGTGCATGCTGTACACAAAGAATCTCAGGACAATGTGGTAGGTACCAGTCAAGGTCTGGACAAGAAAGATCCGGCCTCCACACCCCCCACCCCCTTTTTTGCAAGGTTACTTCCTGCCTCTTTTTTTTTTGTTTTAAGATTTCACTACATTTAAAAAAATTAATATAAAATGTACTAACACCTTCACATACTTTATTATTATTTTTTTTTGCCAGTCCTGGGGCTTGATCTCAGGGCTAGGTGCAGTCCATGGAGAGCTTCTACCACTTGAGCCACAGCACCACATCCAGCCTTTTCTGAGTAGTTTATTGGAGATAAGGGTCTCACAGACTTTCCTACCCCAGCTGGTTGTGAACCATGATCCTCAGCCTCCTGAGTAGCTAGGATTACAGGCGTGAGCCACTGGCACCAGGCTTCTCACATACTTTTGAATCAGTTAATTTATGAACCCATTCTCTCGTAGAATACACGTCGGCATTGAAACAGTTGAAAGAAATGTAATGCATATCAAGGAAATATTAGTTGTGATTGTTATATTCATCCCATACTTTATGCATTTGTGCACATAACAAAGTTTCACTTTCCTGCTCTAAAAATGGCCGGGGGGTGGGGGGGAAGCGTGTGTGTGTGTCTGTCTGTCTGTCTGTACGCGCGCACTCGCGCAAACACTGCCATTCCCTGAGCTGGTGATGGTGCTGGGAGTTTATGACTGGAAAGAGCAAGGGTCGAAGTTCTCTCAAGAATTTGTACCACTGTCTTTATGCCCAGCAAAGGGCTAGGCAGTATCCACTGTCACTGAGTGTGAGCCCAGTCTTCTGAAAATGCTCAGTCCACTTCAACTGGAGCTATGGTTCCTCCTGGTCTCTGTCCCATTCTGTTTTAGTTTCATGGACTTCCTTCTTCCTTATCCCTGGAGAGCACCACTGTACCCTCGTGTCCCCAGAGCTGACAGCCTCTCTTCCTTCAAATCCTCCCTCAGATCTCATCTCAGAGGCCAGGCTAGAACTGTGAGGGCCCCATCCACCTGCTAGCGCCCCCCCTCCTTTCCTTGCTTGGTTTTCTTCTATAGTGTCAATCACTGCTATTCGTATAACTACTCTTGCATTTTACAATATCAAGTGAACCTTTACCATCCTTTACCATGTTCTGTACTCATATCTGTGTACCTGGTATACAGCAGTGAACACATCACATACTTTCCTGCCCACCATCTGTCTCCTTCATTAGAATATAAGCTGTATAGGGCAAGGATTTTTTTTAATTTTTTTTGGGGGGGTCCGGTCGTGGGGCCTGAACTCTGGGCCTGGGCGCTGTCCCTCAGCTCTTCAGCTCAAGGCTAGCACTCTATCGCTTGAGCCACAGCGCCACTTCTGGCTTTTTTCTTTCTGCTTATGTGGTGCTGAGGAATTGAACCCAGGGCCTCATGCATGCAAGGCAAGCGCT